GTCCATAAATATTGGGACATCAACACAATTTTAACATTTTTGGCTCTTTACACACCACCACAATGGATTTGAAATGAAATGAACAAGATGTGCTTTAACTGCAGACTGTCAGCTTTAATTTGAGGGTGTTTACATCCAAATCAGGTGAACGGTGTAGGAATTACAACAGTTTGCATATGTGCCTCCCACTTGTTAAGGCACCAAAAGTAATGGGACAGAATAATAATCATAAATCAAACTTTCACTTTTTAATACTTGGTTGCAAATCCATTGCAGTCAATTACAGCCTGAAGTCTGGAACGCATAGACATCACCAGACGCTGGGTTTCATCCCCGGTGATGCTCTGCCAGGCCTCTACTGCAACTGTCTTCAGTTCCTGCTTGTTCTTGGGGCATTTTCTCTTCAGTTTTGTCTTCAGCAAGTGAAATGCTCAATCGGATTCAGGTCAGGTGATTGACTTGGCCATTGCATAATATTCCACTTCTTTCCCTTAAAAAACTCTTTGGTTGCTTTTGCAGTCTGCTTTGGGTCATTGTCCATCTGCACTGTGAAGCAGCATCCAATGAGTTCTGAAGCATTTGGCTGAATATGAGCAGATAATATTGCCCGAAACACTTCAGAATTCATCCTGCTGCTTTTGTCAGCAGTCACATCATCAATAAATACAAGAGAAGCAGTTCCATTGGCAGCAATACATGCCCACGCCATGACACTACCACCATGCTTCACCGATGAGGTGGTATGCTTAGCATCATGAGCAGTTCCTTTCCTTCTCCATACTCTTCTCTTCCCATCACTCTGGTACAAGTTGATCTTGGTCTCATCTGTCCATAGGATGTTGTTCCAGAACTGTGAAGGTTTTTTTAGATGTCGTTTGGCAAACTCTAATCTGGCCTTCCTGTTTTTGAGGCTCACCAATGGTTTCCATCTTGTGGTGAACCCTCTGTAGTCACTCTGGTGAAGTCTTCTCTTGATTGGTGACTTTGACACACATACACCTACCTCCTGGAGAGTGTTCTTGATCTGGCCAACTGTTGTGAAGGGTGTTTTCTTCACCAGGGAAAGAATTCTTTGGTCATCCACCACAGTTGTTTTCCGTGGTCTTCCGGGGCTTTTGGTGTTGCTGAGCTCACCGGTGCGTTCCTTCTTTTTAAGAATGTTCCAAACAGTTGTTTTGGCCACGCCTAATGTTTTTGCTATCTCTCTGATGGGTTTGTTTTGTTTTTTCAGCCTAATGATGGCTTGCTTCACTGATAGTGACAGCTCTTTGGATCTCATCTTGAGAGTTGACAGCAACAGATTCCAAATGCAAATAGCACACTTGAAATGGACTCTGGACCTTTTATCTGCTCATTGTAATTGGGATAATGAGGGAATAACACAGACCTGGCCATGGAACAGTTGAGAAGCCAATTGTCCCATTACTTTTGGTCCCTTACCAAGTGGGAGGCACATATGCAAACTGTTGTAATTCCTACACCGTTCACCTGATTTGGATGTAAATACCCTCAAATTAAAGCTGACAGTCTGCAGTTAAAGCACATCTTGTTCATTTCATTTCAAATCCATTGTGGTGGTGTAAAGAGCCAAAAATGTTAAAATTGTGTTGATGTCCCAATATTTATGGACCTGACTGTATACTGCCATTTGTAAAAGCTATAACTTTCACGTAGACCAATTAATTTACATGTACTGTATTGGGATTTTTTTTTGCAAATAAATATAGCAGAATACATTTTGGCCTACATGTTTGATGAAATTTGATTTTTTCATTTTTTACTGGATATGTTTAATAGCAAACAGTCAAAAATATATATTTTTTAAAATTGTTGATATTTTTTGTTTATAGTGCAAAAAAAAAAAACTCAAAGGTGATCAAATACCACCATAAGCAAGCTCCATTTATGGGGAAAAAAAAGAACATAAATTTAATTTGGGTGCAGTGTTGCATGACCACACAATTGTCAGTTAAAGTAAAGCAGTGCCGTATCGCAAAAAATGGCCTGGTAAGGAAGGGGGGGTGGGAGTAAATCCTCTGGAGGGCAAGTGGTTAAAGGGTGCCTCGGGACTGTCCATAATTTTAGAGGGTGCATCGAGACTGTCCATCATTTTAGAGGGTGCCTCGGGACTGTCCATCATTTTAGAGGGTGCCTCGGGACTGTCCATCATTTTAGAGGGTGCCTTGGGACTGTCCATCATTTTAGAGGGGGGCCTCAGGACTGCCCATCATTTTAAAGGGTGCATCGAGACTGTCCATCATTTTAGAGGGGGGGCTCAGGACTGTCCATCATTTTAGAGGGTGCATCGAGACTGTCCATCATTTTAGAGGGGGGCCTCAGGACTGTCCCATCATTTTAGAGGGGGTGCATCGAGACTGACTGTCCATAATTTTAGAGGGCGCCTCGGGACTGTCCATAATTTTAGAGGGCGCCTCGGGACTGTCCATAAGTTTAGATCGGGGGTGAATCGGGACTGTTCATCATTTAGAAGGCACCTCGGGACTGTCCATCATTTTAGAGGGTGCATCGAGACTGTCCATCATTTTAGAGGGGCCTCAGGACTGTCCATCATTTTTTAAAGGGTGCATCGAGACTGTCCATCATTTTAGAGGGGGGGCTCAGGACTGTCCATCATTTTAGAGGGTGCATCAAGACTGTCCATCATTTTAGAGGGGGGCCTCAGGACTGTCCATCATTTTAGAGGGGGGCCTCAGGACTGTCCATCATTTTAGAGGGTGCATCGAGACTGTCCATAATTTTAGAGGGGGGCCTCAGGACTGTCCATCATTTTAGAGGGTGCATCAAGACTGTCCATCATTTTAGAGGGGGGCCTCAGGACTGTCCATCATTTTAGAGGGGGGCCTCAGGACTGTCCATCATTTTAGAGGGTCGAAGGCATCGAGACTGTCCATAATTTTAGAGGGTGCCTCGGGACTGTCCATAATTTTAGAGGGCGCCTCGGGACTGTCCATAAGTTTAGAGGGTGATTCGGGACTGTTCATCATTTTAGAAGGCACCTCCGGACTGTCCATCATTTTAGAGGGTGCCTCGGGACTGTCCATCATTTTAGAGAGGGGGGGCCTCGAGACTGTCCATCTTTTTAGAGGGGGCCTCGGGACTGTCCATCATTTTAGAGGGGGCCTCGGGACTGTCCATCATTTTAGAGGGTGCCTCGGGACTGTCCATCATTTTAGAGGGTGCCTTGATTAACAAAAAGGTTAAGAAACACTGTATCAGAGGAGAAGAGGCTGAGTCTTGCGGGCTGAGTCTTGCGGGCTGAGTCATGCGGCCCGAGTCCCGTGTGTTCCCTCCCTCATAACCGAGGTGTGTTGGAGTACAGACGTGAGCTGCGCTGCTCTCTCCATAGCGGAGTGTGGAAAAGTTTGGGAGTAATGTTCCTGTGAACACATCGGAGCAGTGCACATTCATGAGATGGGGAGGGGGGGAGGAGAGATACACGAGGAGCTCCCACCAACACAGGGATGTCCCCAGGCCGCCCCCTCCCGGTCACAGCTCAGGACGTCAGTATACAGCCCTCCCGCCCGCCTTGCCCCAGGAAGCCCCGTGTATTGGACACACGCCGTACACACCGCTGGAGCTGCAACACAGGAACCGCTGACCGCCGTCCTTAGCTCCCCTCAGTCCACCCCTCCGGACAGGCGTGCTGATGGTATCTCCCAGAGAGGCTGGACCAGCAGGCGGCAGGAGAGCGAAGTAAGAGGCTGCTGTGAGCGGGGCTGGATGTGGAGGAGCTGCTGCTGGGAGACCAGTGCCAGGAATTCCTAGTAAACAAGAGGAAACTGCAGGTAAACTCCTAGGGACGGGTGCAATGCATGGCTGCGGGGGGGAGAAGTTGTAGGAGTTTGTAGGTGGACCTCATACTAGCTCCACTTACCTCCAGCTTGTGTAAGAGTTTCTATACTAGTGGTTGATGAGTAAAATGTGTGCATTTAGAGGGAGGCAGGCAGGAGGGGGAAGGGGCTAGTCATTGGAAGATGATCAAGGGCGTGGAGGATGTAACCTGAAGCCTGAATTAACCCTGATGACAGGAGAGGACTAGGCAGGAGGACACACGTTTTCCTAGGCAAGCAAATGTTTGATGATGAGGGACGCCTTGGTCTAGGATGGTCCTGACGTTGCTGTGTCTGAATATTCTTCCTGATTGTCTCCCTGCAGGTTCCTTGGAAGTAAACCCTAGTGAGAAGTCTACCATCACCTGGGGGAGCCGAGAAGTGGCGTTCGGCGGTTTAGGAACTGGCCTCAACACACAAGCCCTTCCCTGCTACCCTCTGCTCTTCCTTTTCATCCTGCCTGTTGCAGTCAGATTTGCAATTCGGGAATTAAAGGAGAAACACAAGACCGTAAGACAAAGCCCCCCTACAAGGGGCACGCTGGGTTTAAGGCTAGCAGGTTGGTTGCCAGGGGACATGCTTTTCTCTGATATTCCCTGTCTCCCGGGACTCCTGAGGAGGGCTCCTGGATTAAGTGGACAAAGTAGGAAAGGTTCACTGTTGTTAGTGCTGACCCTTGTGCATGGCTTGGGTGGTGTGTGGTCTCAGGCTGAACAGCAGTGCCCAGCTTCCTGCGAGTGCTCCGAGGCAGCCCGGACTGTCAAATGCGTGAACAGGAATCTAAACAAGGTGCCTAATAACCTACCTTCCTATGTCACCAACCTGTTTATCAATCGAAACAATATTGAAAGCCTGCAGGAAGGGACATTTAACCAGACTTTGCCAGACCTGTCCAGTCTTAGTCTTAGCAGCAACCACCTCCAGGAACTGGGGAACCAAGTCTTCAAAAATCTACCCAGTCTGAGGCAACTGGATCTTAGCAACAATGAGCTGGAGAACGTAAGCCATCTACTTTTCCAGGTTGGTCCAGGTCTCTCCAGCCCACTCCTAGAGCTGAACCTGAGCATCTCTTTATACAATTCGTCTATGATAACCCTACTGGCAGGTGCCCTGCAATATGGTGGGCTGAGGAACCTCCAGAAGCTGGATATGAGCGGAAACAACCTACTGTATGTACCTGATGGCATATTCAGTTCAATGCCAAATCTAAAACATCTTGACCTGAGTAACAATTCCCTGGTCACTCTCCAAGATGGGGTTTTTGCCAATCTCAGTAATCTTCAGACTTTGGATTTGAGGCACAATTCTCTGAAGCATCTGAAGAACACAACACTTTTTGAGTTCTCCAGCCATCCAGGCCTATCAGTTCTCCTCGGTGATAATAGTTGGGTCTGTGACTGCAACATTGAACCTTTTTTTAGCTGGCTGAAAGAGACGACTGTAGTAAAGAACTCATCCATCTTGGTTTGTGTCTCTCCTGAGAAGATGAGGGACACACCAGTGACCGCCCTCAAGATTCCAGAGCTTGAGTGTCCCCCTTATGTTACTGACACCAGCTTACAAACATCCTATGTGTTCCTGGGCATAGTGCTAGCCCTTATAGGAGTCATCTTTTTTGTTGGTTTTATATTTGAACAGAAAAGGTATTAAAAAGTGGATATACAACATTAGAGAGATGCATGTAGGGATCACATGGAGGGCTATCACTACAGGTATGAAATCAATGCAGATCCCAGGCTAACAAACTTAAGCACAAACTCTGATGTAAAAGTTTTTTTTTTTTTTTTTTTCCAAATGAAAGCAACACTTAAACTATGCATGAACTTAATGTACAGATAATGCATCTATCCCTGAGCTTGTTCTCCTTCTCACTCCCTGCTGGAAAAAATAGAACACAAACAAAAACAAGGACTCCATGCAGGGCTTTTGAATGCCTCCATCTGACTGTGAAGTTTTATTGCTGCATTATAATTTACTCTGTATTTCAGACTTTGAAATTTGCATGCTAAACATCCATACATAAAGACTAGTTCCTTTGCTGTTCTTGTTGCAGGAACACCATTCATGCAAATGGATTTAAAAAAAAAAAAAAAATAGCACAGCAACAATTTGTGGGTTTTTTTTTTTTTTCCTGCTTTTTTCCTATTTGCCAACCAAGTTACCAGTCAACAATAACTGCCTCAACGTTTTTTATTTCATGATATATGTAAAAACTATGTTGTGGGAATCCAACAGGAATGCAAATCTTTGCATGTACTACATGGGGACTTACACAATAGTTAGCATGTAAAAGCTTTTTTTTTTTTTTTTTTTTTTTTTTTTTTTTTCTTATTCTTAATTAGGAAACATCCACAGTAATACTTTTGCACTGTTTTTGTAAGAGATATGCAGTTTATATGAAAGCGAAATTTCTATAAACTGCACCTAACTTTTAATAACTCAGACTCAATAAAGAATATGTTAAAATATTTGTTGTGTGGACATTTTCTGCCAAAAAAAAGATGTGTTTTGTACTTTGTAACTTTTGTATATCGAGCAAGGCAAATGAGGGAGTTTGCAGTTTTTGTTTTGTTTTTTTTTGTTTGCTAAATGTTCATCATTAGAGAGATGAGTACCACATTCTATAAACAGTATCATATTAATAACTCTCTGAAACCATGAAATGACTTGAAAGCTATTATAATATTACTTTGAATATGAACTATGCCATTATCTTGTATACAGTATAAGGATGGGTTGTTATGCAGGCACCTGTAATATTAAAAAAATAATTAAGTATACAGACAGTCTAAGCAATACAAGGGAAGTGGCAAGCCCTTAAAAATGTATGTGTTTACAAACACAGATTCCCTTTCCTAACATTTATTGTACCCAAGTAAAAAAAAAAAAAAAAAATCACACAAGTAAAAATGTTTTTTTTGTTTTTTTTTTATGTTGATAAGCCTGGTTGGTCTAGCAGGGGTTGAGATTACTTATCTGTAGTTTGATACAGTCTGAACACTTTGTTCTTGTTGGCATGTTCTTCTGTAGAATGCAAACTTGTACAAAAGTCTTTTTTTTTTTTTTTTTTTTTTTTTAATATCTTAATTTGCATTACAGAGAATTTAAAAATTTTCTTGTCTGTACGTAGTACTACTGTGTAATTTAAATGACTCCTATGAATGTGGAAGGGACAGTGGATATGTTTAATTTATGAATTTTGTTAAGGCACGTAAGCTTTGATTGTATTAGAATGTAACCTGAAGTATACAGACATGGATACTGTTTAGGTATGTCCCACAACGCTTTACATCTAACTATGCAGATGTGAACACAAAGTTGAATGACAAGCACTGCCTGTATGCTGGAGGTGTGCTTGAACAGCAGGAAATGTACTGTGCTTTAAATATAGTAATAAACGGTGAACTAATATTTTTGGTGGTACAGTTTTCAATATGAAGATTCACTTGGTTATCATCTGTATATGAATGTGTTGTATTTGTACTCATTCAAGGGTCATGTTGATATACAAAAGTAAGACTTGCTATAGCACACATGTAATGATAGCAAGTGTGTAGTTTTCTTTTTTTAGGTGTTTATAAACTTTACTATACAAACGCATAAAAACAAGTCTTTTGGAAGTGTGAGTGTATAAATATATATATTGCTGCAGTTTGTACAGTTCCAGACATCACTGGCTAATATAAAGATTTAGCATTGTTACTAAATCCAATCTCTAAACTGGCCATACATTATACAATTTTCCTTTACATTTACCAAAACCATACAATACGAGGTCAAACTTAAACACTTTCAGTTTGTTTGCAATCAGACATCCCCCTGCACTACATAGTTGAAGGTAAATCTAAAGGAAATTGAATAAAAACATTTTAAAATGTATTGTCAACTTAAGAAAATTCAGTAAGTTAGGTGTCTTCTGTAATTTTACTGGCTTCCTGTCTCCTGTGCTTTATGCAGACCTGTACTAAATTGTGAAGAGCAAATAATGAGAAAACCAAGGGCAGTGTGGGGTATACAGGTGACAACTATACATAATTTAGTGTTTAATATGTGTTATCCAAATTGCGACCATCTTTCCCTGAACATCTCATTCAACATATTCTGGATAAAAGTTATTAAATGGGCTTGTACATATTTTATTTCAGGTCTATGGCTGTAATGCCAGGTAGAGGTCATTGCTTACATCCTTTACAAGCCGGCAGGTCTTTGATTTCCCCCCCCTTAATACCTGCAGCAGGGTAGAATGTGCACAGTTTACTCTAATGGTGTTAATTGTAATTATTTTATTACAGCAAAAAAAAAAAAAAAAAAGGATGCCAAGGTGGGCTCTCTAGCTCTTTATATTGCATCCTTAGTGACTTTTGCAGTAGAGTGATATGACCTTTTTCATTTTATTATTATTATACAGGATTTATATAGTGCCAGCAGTTTGCTCAGCGCTTTACAATATAACGGGAGACAATACAGTTCAATACAAGAGGGAAATGAGGGCCCTGCTCCTTGAAGCTTTTTATGGATTTTGCATTACCTCTGTTGGATTTTGTAATATAAAAATATAATTTAAGATGTAGTTGGAGAGAAAAGTCTTGTGGTATGTCAAGATTAGCAAGGTCTATTAAATATTGTGGTCTTGATTACACTCCTGTTCTCTGTATGCATAGTGTAAAATTCTGCACCACAGAGAAACAGTTATGCTGTTAAAAGCTTTGCAGCACTGTGTTCCTCTGTTTAAATCCAGGTCAGGATACTAACTGCATGGAGTGTGCATGTTCTCCTTGTGCTTATGTGGTTTTCTGCTGGGTACACCAGCTTCCTTTCACACCCTCAAAGACATGCTGGTAGGTTAATTGTCTCCTGTCTAAATTGGCCGTAGTATGAATGTAAGATAGGGACCAAGCTCTGAGGGCAGAGACTTGTGTGGATTTGGAATGTATAAAGCACTGAGTAAATTGTTGGTGTTATTAAATACCTGTAATAAAGAAATGGGCTATTCTAAAGAAGTGTTAAAAAAAAGAAAAGGAAAGCCTGTGAACATTCCAATGCTAATACAGTTTGTATTGACAGAAAGCTATTTTCTCTGATGGTGAGCCAAGCATCAACTGTATATTAAAATATGCAAGCTTAAGATCATCTGGTTTAGATATCCTTCCAGAATACCAGAGAACGCGTTATGGAACACTTTGTAAAGCTATATCCAGTATATGGATACTGTACCTAATTTTGTTTCTTTCTCTTTCCTTAGTATGTATATCAAATTACAAAGCTAAGAGGCTTATTTTAATAAGGTAGTGCATTGTGCAATAACTGTGCAAAGTTTAACCCGTCACTTTTTAGTTTACTTTATTCAAATGAAGAAAAAGATGGAGCCACCCATGAGTTTAGGTATGTCAATGTGGGGGTGTTGGGGTCAATAGGTTTTCATTCCTCAGAACATATAACCCTTACTGCTTTCATAATGCGCCTTCTTTTTTTTTTTTTTTTTTTTTTTTAATGTTAGTTTAAACTCAGATTTCAATTGGTATAGTAAAATCTGGTACAAGACACTAATCACAATGCTTCATGTCAGCACATGACCACTTAAGAACTGTCGCCTGTGTCATCCATCATTAGACTTTGTGAGGCTGTAAAGGAACAGCACCATAAATTGTAGGCTTTGTTCAAATATTTGTGGAGCTATATATTAATACACCTATTTTTACAAAGAGTAAGTTAGAATGCAAAGTAACCCATATTATCTTTTTTTTTTTTTTTTTTTACATTTTGAAAAAAAAAAAATCAAAATTGATTAAAAAGACACTAGAAGATTGTAGTTGTGATTCTCAAATTTCCAGGTACATGTTTCGCTGTCAATGGTCTGTGGAGCCCTGGGTAAACCGGAGGCAGGGCTGTAGTCACTCCAGCTGGGCAGACATTAAACTGATATATTAAAAAGTTTGTGTACATTTTTTTTTTTTTTCTTCTCTTTTCTCAAATGTTTTATGCTCATCCAGAAAGAAGTGTGTTACTATTGTGTTGACAAGTATCCTTATAACAAAGCTGGTCTTTTCTATTTCCAGACAGTTGCATACATTAGACTGAGACCAGGTAGTATTACATTTAACATTGTTGCATTGCAGATTAAATTGAAACTTCAGCTTTGTTTGAAAAAAAAAAATCCATCATCCCTATTGCGAGAATTTTTTATTGTGGGTTGCTTTATCATTGTGTTCTAGATATATTACAAATGCCCCAAGGGCTCTGAAATTGGAGGTTCTATAGGAAGGATGGAGATGAGGTTGTGGACTATTAGTTCTGTGTAATGTACTACAAAGATGCTGGACTTATTAATCATATTACGAGCCCTAACCAAGTACACAGCTTGTCGGAAAGTACACGCTTGCTGGAGTCATCTAACTTAGAGAGAGGAGAGATAGATACAGAGCTGGTTTTTCATGAAGGCAAAGAGCACTTTTTTTAGGATGTTGGTTAGGCTAGAGGAAATCGCCAAATCACTCTAGAAAGGGACCATTTGTTTGGTGGTTTAGTCTTGTACTGGTTTTGTACATTTTTTTGCCCAAAAGGTTAGCCACCAAGTCAAGAATACCCAGATATGCAGCATAACCGTTCTACCTAACCTATCTGTTCCTAGATTCATATTATGTAGCTCCAGA